TCATTAAGGCGGGGGAAACGTTGTCCCAACCAGATACGTTCACAGGGACATTGTTCCACAAATACCTTCCAATTTCATGTGTGAACCAATTACCTCCAAATTTCATAATTTTAAAACCTCATTAGTTTTCTTTGCTTATTTATCTAAATTATTTGTTTAATTTTTTTTTAAAAAAAAACTTATTAATTTTAATATTTCAATATTTTTCTTTTAAACTTTTAAATGTTTAGAATTTCATATTTAATTTTTCTTTTAAATGAACCCATTGAATACATTATATATATATATATATATATATATATATATATATATATATATATATATATATATATATATATATATATATTATAGTTCACTTGAGTTTTAAAAAAAATAGAGATCTTAAAATTCAACCCCAGTTATATATTTCTTATTTACCTTATAATGTTCTAACGTACCAGCAACAAAAGATTAAGACAATTATATATATATATATATATATATATATATATATATATATATATATATATATATATATATATATATGTTGACAGATTGATTAATCATATATGATTATAGTGGTTGGTGACAGAGATAGTAGTAGTAATGGTAAGGAAGGTGGCGGGGAAAAAAGGAACGGATGACGTTGATTAATCATTTGCAACTTTAACTTTCTCGTCATGTCGATACGTTAGAACGTTAGAGCGGAAAATGAGAAATATATGGCTGATGATGCTTTTCAATATCCCTATATTTTTTTTGAAATCTTAATGGAATATATATATATATATATATATATATATATATATATATATATATATATATATATATATATATATGTTGGATTTATTATGATCACTAACTTCTTGAGGATCATAAGATTAGTTTTTCAACGTTTATTTTAGAGTTTATCTTATGTCTTAAAAAAATAAGAATATGGAGATTCATCTTTTTTTAACCTATTGCTATATTGACATTCAAAAAAAAATCTATGACATGTTCATCTCACTCACAATATTTGTAAAAAAAAAAATTAGAATTCATTTTCTATCGAAAAATAACTAAAAATATGTAAATTAATCAGTTTTTAACATCTACCTTACTTATCTTCGATTTTTTTCATATAACGTAAAATGTGCAAATAAGTAGAAAAATCTTTGTTTTAAATTTCTTTTCTTTTTTTTCAAAAAATCATTTTCTATAAGGGTGTCCTAAGTTATTAAGATATTTTTCATCTATACATTAATGTAATTATATTCATATTTTTATTTTCTGTATATGTGCATATGGTGCACTTTTTATGTAAGTTTTTGTTTCTGGATATGAATATGGAATTGGGTTAATAAATGATAAATTTACATATTTTTAGTTATTTTTTCGATTTAAAATAGCGATATCTTGAGAAAATTTCTAAACATTTGGAAAAAATTTCAATAAAATAATATAAATTATTTTGAACATAAAAGTCTCGATTATCTAATATTTTGCCCAAATTAACAAAAAAGTTATTTTTATATTTGACCAACAAATGACAAATTATAAGATCTTTTAAAATAATGAGATTTTTTTGTACAAAAAACTTAGGACTTATTTGAAACTTTTCCGAAAAGTTTGGGACTTTTTTGTATATTTACCTATAAGATAAACTCTAAAACCAATATTGAAAAATAACGCATATTTTTTTTTTAACTTTTTCAAAAAAAAAAAAAAAAAAACATTTCAAAACTTCTTAATTGTTTAAGATGTTAACATTGAAGGTAATTCGTTGGAAAAAAAAATTGTTTTTTAACGAAAAATATACATATGTGCACATTTTCATAGTATTTTATTTTCGAATACCAATATGGAAAAAAGTTGAAAATTGATGAATTTATATAATTTTTTCGATATAAATAAGCTCTAAGATGAAAGTTGAAAAAGTGACCCTAAAGATCTTCAAATACTTTGGACACAAAAATAAACAAGTTTGGATTGAGATTTCTGACCTGCCAAACCACCAAATAAATGAATCATGTTCGGGGTTGGTATTTGGGGTCCATGGGTCAACCGTTAACCCTTTTATTCTTTTTTACTTAGAGAATATTATCGTTTTAAAGCATGCTCCCCCGAAGGTGCTTCACAATTAAGTGAAGACATAGACACATTTCATCTTGCATTTGGAAGCATAGATGCATTAATCCTTATTGGCCACCCTAAAATGAGTCTAAGAAGATTTGAAGTTTTGAACACAAAACCTCCATATGGAAAGATTCACGGTATAATATATTAGATGTAAGTTATAAGACTATGCCTATCAACATATATGTGTTGTATACCTTATATCAAACCAATCGTCAGTATTACACAAATAATATTTGAGTTCATGGGTCAACCCTACTAACCTAAATTTGAGCCACGAACCTGTATACATATATAAATAAATAGGAATTAGACATGTCGTATTTGTGTTGATGTTTCCAACCTACCAACTCATAATACAAACAATTATATTAATCGTATAAAAATAAATGCATTTTAACCCGCCAACCTGCAACTCAACACATTTTTCACCCTAGATGATGGATGGCAAACAATGATGATGATGTTGTTTATAGTTGAGGTCGGAGAGAAAAGCCTGGGTGGAGGGTTTGTAGTCAACATAGAAAACAATTGATTATACATAAATATGGGATAATTCCGTTATTCAAGAAGTTTGATTTTGGATTTTATTTAATAATTATAAAATATTCATAAACTACCGTTGGCCACACTATATATATATATATATATATATATATATATATATATATATATATATATATATATATATATATATATATATATATTTTACCACTTGTCAATCTCTCATAGGTTTTGATACTTGTCATTTTGTGATAATTTTGAAATAAATATTATATATTTGTTAATTTTTGGTTTGTTTTAATTTTTAATTAAACTCATATAGTTATATATGTAAAGTATTGAATATCATATATATGATATTAAATTATAATAAATACGTTTCTTTCTTTCTTATTTTAAAGTTGTACATTAAAAAATATTTTATTTTTATACTTTAAGTTTAATTATTTTTTAAATTAACTCGTATAATATACGGGTCTCACACCTATTATGTGTGTGTGTATATATATATATATATATATATATATATATATATATATATATATTGCCACTTGTCAATCTCTCATTTGTTAACACTTGTTATTTTATGATAATTTTGAAATAAATATTATTTATTTATCAATTTTTGGTTTGTTTTAATTTTTAATCAAACTCATATACTTATATATATATATATATATATATATATATATATCAAGTATTAAATATCATATATATGATATTAAATTATAATAAATACGTTTCTTTCTTTCTTATTTTAAAGTTGTACATTAAAAAATATTTCATTTTTATACTTTAAGTTTAATCATTTTTTAAATTAACCCGTATGATATACGGGTCTCACACTTACTATATATATATATATATATATATATATATATATATATATATATATATATATATATATATATATATATATATATATATATATATATTGTTTTAAGTCTATAAACAGGATACGGAATTTATATTAATTTGTATATTTATTTTGAACGGTTTATTTAGTAGTTAAAAATTAAATTCATAATGTTAGTTAATTTGTTACTGTTAACTGACCAGATTTATTCATGATTTAACCGGTAACACTCTCACTAGGTAATGATAACAAGTTTCATGCAAGTGTATATAGGACATGTGCCCTAAAACATACCTGTAACAATAAAGCAAATATCCACTTATTGGTTTTCTTTTCGGAAAAAAAAAAAAGTTGTATATGATTGATCGATATTTAACACGTCAGTTAAGAATTGATAAATATTGAACCTCAATCGACTTTGAGGCCTCCAAACGCTATTAATGAGACAGCCAGCAAACGGTTGTATAATGCCACCTTCATATATATTGGTGTTGGACAAATGCAATGAATTTGTAATGCATTATCGATCCATCATGTGACATGAAAATGAAATCCTTACTTTATTGGAGGCCAGATATTATAAAATATAGAATATATACTATATATATAGTGCTAGTCTCACATAATAAATATTCTACTTTCGTATATATAAATTGACACTGTGATTAGACAGCAAGAGAGTAATGGTCAAAGCTGAAAAGACTTATCAAATTCTGATTGGTTCTTCAGCTCGAATAAATACATTGATAGTAATTAATGCAAAAGATACGTTTATATATAACTTCTAACAAGTACTGTATTTTGTGCTTGTATGTGAACTTATTTGTTTTAATCACATATGCATGGTTAAATCTTTGTTCTTATAGAACTTAATCTTAAAACGATCTTAAGATAAGCTAAGACTAGATAAGAGTAAGAGTGGTTTCTTAGAACTGTAAAGGAATTTATGAGTAAGTAATTAAGATTTAAGTCAAAGGGAAAGGAAGGGTTACATTTTGGTCAAAATATAATTTGGGTATGTAGGCTAGGGAAATAATAATGATATGGTTGATGATCAAAGGACTTATGGAATGCTTCTTCAATGGTAAACTATCAACTTCGTAGTAGGGACAGATCAGTCGCTCAAGTAGGAGCAATGGCCGTTGTATACGAAGGTAATTAATGATAGTAGAACATATATCTAAGCCAAATAAATTATTTAGAAGTATCATCGATCCCAATGATCAAAAGTTTTCTACATATGGGATTACGAATAACCATAAACAAAGAGTTGGCAAAGTGATATTCTTTATGTTATAAATTGCACAATCAATTCATAAGGAATTATTACTGGAAACAACTTATAGGTACATATTAGTTACTAAGAAAATTAACCTATTCACTTTTCATGAAGATGAAGAACATAGACAGTGATTTCCAAACAAAGAAGAACAAATATTCAGTCACATATGTGTCAACAAATCTGCATCGGCCGTTCACATTACAGACCTTTTGTCTTTTTAGGGTTCCTCATTTGTTGATCGTTAACAAAAAGACCAGCTAGCTATGCCTGCTCCTGTTGATCTTCTTGCTGTTGCTGCTGCTTAGGTCGTTTCCTCTTCTTCTCATAGCTGATACCCCTTGACTTGGCCTGAAAGTCACGAACCTCCCTTAAAAACCGCCTCACTTCCGGCGCACCAAATGGATTTGTCTCCGGGTTCCCTCCATGCTCATCGTAAGCTGCGCGGAGACGTCCAACAAGCGCGTCAAGGCTCCCCCAGGCCTGCCGAAAGGGACAAGGGCATGCTGTCGGTGGGTTTGGTACTCCGAAGTAAGGGCATGTTAAGATGTGGATTTTAGTCTTTCCAAATTGATCAAGATAGTGTAGGAACTCAAGAACATGACTAGGGTTGAAGTGAGTGAAAGAAAGTGGTGGCTTGTTGTTTCTTAGATACTGCCCAAATGTGTCCCAGTCGCGACGCTTCTGGCTCTCATACCGGCTCGGAGAAGATGAAGATGACGAGCTATTTGTCGAGTCCATAGATGTTAATTTCAACTCACAGATCCATATGATCTTGTTACAATTGCTCTCTTTTTTTCTAGGGTTTTCTTTTACTGTAGTGGCTTCTCTCTCAATCCTGCACAAATGTAAACACACACAGACAGTGGGGCAGTTGATCTAAGAGAAACAAGTTGATGTATTAAGCCAAAAAGACGATGTTATTCTCTAGACACAATGGAATGAGCATGAATGGTAAGAATATTTGTTGTAGAAAATGAGAGAAGAGAAACATTTTGCAAGAAAGGGAAAGGTGTTGTGGCTGCTGGGTAAAGATCCATAAGTGGAAGTGATTGGGATCTATCTATAAGTGGAAGTGATGCAAATGTGGAAGTGGAGTCACAGTAACCTGATTTTTTACTCTGCCATGCCGTACACAATTACCTGCTTATTTGCAATTAAAATAAATATAAATCTACATTATTTCTAATTAAAGAGGGATTCATTTGTGTGTATACTTGTAAATCCTGCACATCTTGATATCATATAATCATCTCACTATATTATTTAATTAAATATAACTAATATAATTCATTGTCCATATGTGTAGCACAAATATAGCTAGAATAATGTATTATCTTAATTCTGTCGACAAATGTTTCATATTGTATGCTAGAGAAACAGTGGAGTTTCTTTGAATGAAACGGTCTTCATTCTTCATTAAGGGGTGTTTGGATAGAAAAAAAAATGCTTATTGCTTATTCCCACAATAAGTTAATTTAAGTGTTTGGATAAAATCCAGTTTATTAGGCTAAATAAGCTAATTTTAATAAGCATTACTCTCCATGCTTATTGCTTATTGCTTATTCTCATCACAAATAAGCTATAAGCAATAAACTAAAAATTTAATCCAAACACCCCTAGAAACAAAATAATACGTTAAGCAAAATTACGTGCAATTAAATTTATCTTCATCTTAAACTATTTAACTTGCTTGCTTTTCTTAAACAATTATATCATTTATGTTTAGTTTTTCAGTGGGTGGAAATGTATGTCTATTTTTTCTCGAACAAAATGATACAATATTAGTTTTAGTTTATAGAATCAACATTTTTGTCTACGTTTAATTATAAAAGAAAATAATTATTATTCTACACAAATATTAATCGTTAAAAGTATAAATCCTATGGTCGCAAATCGAAACTATCATAATGAAATAACACGCAACAACAGTGAAATTTGCTAGGGCCGGAACCGAAATAATTTAGCTTAGATAGTGACGGACCAACGTTAGATTAGATATAGATTAATGATTGAAAATAAATTGTCACTAATCCATAAAATCAAGATATTAGCAACACGCTAGAGACATAATACTATTGAAATACGATTTATAATAACGAGAGATCCAATTCGTTGCAGTGATTTATTATGCTATCAGTCGTTGAGCCGTCATAAGTTACATATGTTAGCATAATAAAACATTTGAGTTTATTTTATATTTGGTTTTTATTTAGCCTTCTAGCTAAGTAAGCATGTTAGTTAACCATATATATTTTTTCTTGTCTTTCTTTTTCTTTGTAATTAACTTTTTCTTTCGATAATAAACTTTAACCATTTTTTGGCTTCTGATTATTAGTTTACTTGGTATTAAAACTCTATTTGATCCATGATTATTTATTTGACGAAGACTTTGTAATAGACGTCACCATCTTATATCAAAATTTTATGGTATTGTTCATCATATCTATTAGTTTCGATCTCGTTCTGGTTGAATGTTCTTTTTTTTTCGTTAGTATTTAAGTCTCGTTGTCGTCGTTTGTTGGTTGTTTAGCTCTCATTTTTTGGTTACTAGTTATATGCTTTTTGCTTAATTATTTGCATTATAGCTACAAACAATGATTTGTTTCGGTCGATTTGTACCTAACTTGATGGCAATAAACTATGTATACTGGACTTATGTGTCACACACTCGGCCTGGCGGAGGAAACGGCGGCTAATGCGACATTAGGATGTTGGACCACAGATAAAGATTCCACATGTCATTCATGACATAAATACCACTTCCATTCAACAATCAATAACATACAAAAACTTTAGTTTAATTACATTGATTTTTGTCTTGGCAACCGTACACTTCGGTAGATTGCAATTAATATCATAATCCTTTGTTGGGAGATCTTCTGTCTCTATTGATGACCTAGTACATTCCCTGAGTTCGACACCTTACTTACTAATCTATACCACTAAAAGACAGGTTCACTGCATTTGTTTGTTAAATTTATTAATTAAAAGTAGGGATAAAACAAGTGCATTTTACACACATCAATACATATCCCAACTGCCACCGAAATCTAGGACACATGCCCGAAGCATGTCCTCAAGGGTCTGCATCGTCCTCTCACTCTGTCCGTCCGTCTGAGGGTGGAAAGCGGTGCTGAAATGGAGACGAGTACCCATCTCGTCGTGAAACCTCTTCCAAAATCTGAAAGTAAAACGGACATCTCGGTCTGACACCACTGAAACAGGCACCCCATGCTGTGCCACCACCTCTCGTACATAAATATCGGCTAGCTTCTCAGCTGATATGCTCTCCTGGATCGGTATAAAATGAGCACTCTTCGTCAACCGATCCACTATAACCCAAATCGCATCCACTCCTCGTGCGGTCCTGGGAAGCTTAGTGATGAAATCCATGGTGATATCCTCCCATTTCCATACTGGAATGTCTAACGGCTGCATCTTGCCGTGAGGTCTCTGGTGCTCCACCTTAACCGTCCTGCAGGTTAGACATCATTCCACATACCAAGCCACATTCCGCTTCATGTAGGGCCACCAATAATCGGGTCTAAGATCTCTATACATCTTTGTTGCCCCTGGATGGATGGAGAATCGAGACTTATGAGCCTCGTCCATCAGCACTTGTCGTACTCCGCCCCAGTATGACACCCAGACCCTCCCATGAAAGGTCAAAAATCCTCGACTATCATAGTCAAAGGAAGCTACTCGGCCCACGATCCTCTCACACTTCTGCCTCTCCTCCTTGAGGCCATCGACCTGCGCCTCTTTAATTTTCTCCAGCAATGGAGTAATCACTGTCATCCTCAAAAAAATGTCCCTGATCGGGGCTGCTGCTGCCTTGCGGCTCAGGGCGTCGGCCACTACGTTGGCCTTCCCTGGGTGATAAAGGATTTCACATTCGTAATCCTTCAGCACATCTAACCATCGCCTCTGCCTCATGTTCAGATTCGGCTGGTCCATGAGGTACCTCAAGCTCTTGTGATCCGTGTAGATGGTACAATGGACCCCATAGAGGTAATGTCTCCAAATCTTGAGGGCAAACACCACTGCCCCCAGCTCTAAATCATGCGTAGGATAGTTAGCCTCGTGAGGCTTCAACTGTCTCGAGGCGTAAGCTACCATACAGCCTTGCTGAATCAACACTGCTCCCATTCCAGCGATCGAAGCATCACAGTAGACTACAACATCCTCTACTCCCTCGGGTAGGGTAAGAATCAGTGCCTCGCACAATTTCTGTCTGAGGGTCTCGAATGCTGCCTGCTGCTCAGGCCCCCAGCAAAACACCACCGACTTCTTAGTCAGTCGAGTGAGCGGTACAACTATCTTGGAGAAATCCTGGATGAATCTCCTGTAGTACCCTGCTAAACCTAGGAAGCTCCTAATCTCAGATGGAGATCTCGGGATTTCCCACTGCATCACGACCTCTATCTTGGCTGGATCTACCAAAATACCCTTCTGGTTGACGAGATGACAAAGGAACTGCACCTCGCGCAACCAGAACTCGCACTTGGAGAACTTTACGAAAAGTCTCTCCCTCCTCAAAATCTCTAGCACCTCTCTCAGGTGCTCCTCGTGCTGCTCCTGAGTCTTGGAATACACCAAGATATCAACTATGAATACTATCACAGACCGATCCAACATCGGCCTGCACACGCGGTTCATGAGATCCATGAACGCGGCCGGAGCGTTGGTGAGCCCAAACGGGATCACCACGAACTCATAATGACCATACCGGGTCCTGAAAGCAGTCTTATCCACATCTCGCCTCTGACTTGCATCTAATGATACACAGAGCGTAAATCGATCTTGGAAAACCAAGACGCTCCCTGCAGCTGATCAAACAAATCATCTATCCTCGGAAGTGGGTAACGGTTCTTCACCGTTACCTTATTCAGCTCCCGGTAATCTATACACATACGGTGCGACCCGTCCTTTTTCTTCACAAACAAAATCGGTGCACCCCAAGGCAAACTGCTCTGCCTGATAAAACCCTTGTCTAGCAGCTCTTGCAGCTGCGTAGATAACTCCTGCATCTCTGGGGGGAGCCAACCGATACGATACCTTGGCTATCGGAGTCGCACCAAGGATCAGGTCAATCCTAAACTCAACCTGACTCTCGGGAGGTATTCCAGGCAATTCCTCTGGAAATACATCTGGGTAGTCTCGCACTACCGGAACATCATCAACCGACATCCTGCCCTTCTCCCGAGCATCTATAACATAGGCAACATAACCGACGCAACCCTGCTGGAAATAGCGCCTTGCTCTTGCCGCTGAACACAAAAACTGGTCCACGTTGTGGTCTCTCGCCCTGAATCACTAACTCTCCCACACTGGGAGTGCGAACCCTCACCAACTGCAGCTCACAATCTATCACCGCCCCATTGGGGATCAGCCAATCCATACCCACTATGACTTTATTCCCTCGTAGGGGAATAGGGACCAAGTCCACCGGAAACTGCTCATCAAACAACTATAGAGAACATCCTCTGTGTACTCTTGCCACCCTAACGGTCCTATCGGCTGCTATCTTAACCTCAAGTGGACAATCTAGCTCCCCCGGAGCTCTACTAAACCTCTTGCTAAGCGCAAGTGAAACAAACGATCGGGTAACCCCGAATCGAACAATATTGTAGCTGATATGCCGTTCACTGAGAACGACCCTATACAAAACATATAACCATAAGAAACAATCAATAATAAATGCAGAGGTAAGGAGAAAAATACATACCTGTCACCAC